CCCTTACCAATTTCTATATTAATGTTAGGTAACAAACTTGTTAAGGATACCAATTTTGTATTCCTTGTAGATAAACTGCTAAATATGTAAACTCGGCCTCAAAAAGCGACAAGGACTGGAGTGGTTAACCGTAGCCAATACTCTGAGTAACTGAATAATTTTTAAATACCAATTAAAATAAAACTCTTATCACAGAAAGCTATTACTAAGGTTTTTTAATATTTTTGTACCTACTTATCTAATTAAGTATCGATTTCCTTAAAAGTGGCAAGTTACAAAACCAACACTGTCGTACGTAATTAACGATGATATAAGGAGCAACTTCCTCATTTTTAACGATTAGCAAGCAGGTAAAAATCATTAAAAACTAAGAATAGCCTGCGACAATTTCGGCTTCGTTCTGAATAACAAAATTGCTTCGAACTTAAAATAACCGAAATTCTTGTTGCGTACAATTATCCGAATGTAACCTGTTACATCCGTTAAATTATAGGTATCAAGTGGCAATTCCTCTAAAAAACGCGATTGGTATTGTCGAAACGGAAGGCGATAAATTTTATTTATTTCAAGATTGAACGGTATAATAATAGCCGTTTCTAATTAGAATTTAACAATTCATCCGAGTAAAAACTAGTTAATAATAATAGAGTAGAAAATAGGATAAACTAGTTATTAATATCGATAAATTTTTAAACGCCATAGATTGATGTTAATTTAGAGAAATTATAAATATATCCAATTATTTTTAAATTAACAAGCATAAACCAGATGTAATAAATTTGTAGCTACATTGTATTCTTTTTAAGTCGGCATTGCACACCTCCATTTCAATAAAGATCACGTATTTCACAATACGACGACCGCATATAACAATGTCTTCGAAGGTGTAGCGCCTAAAATATGCTTTGTATTGTCTTCATAACGCTGTATACCTACAAGGCAACATTTATACCTATTTTGGTCGCATCGACTGGAGTCCTTACTTTTATTTCCTTCGTATATCTTAATTTGTAGCGGCGTCACTGCAGATTTTATCGGAGCAATTGAACGTCAAATTCGTATCCAAAAATAATAAATTCGTTAAAACTGTGTATTTGGCACGGCTTAAATTCAATTCTGCATTTCAGTAACCAGTCATTAAATGAGAACTTACTGCAACCAACTGGTTAGGTAAAATTATTGAATGAAGATGTTGGTAGTTTGTGGCGAAAGGTAATTTATGCAACAACGCGAATAACTCACGTAATTCTAGAAAAATTATAAATATTCACTAGTAAAATATGACGCGTATCATATAGATAATATAAGATTTCATAAAAAAGAGAATACCTACTTATATCGTTGTTGATCTAATTGAGGACTATAAATAATACTATTAATACGCGTAATAATGTTATCAAATTAAACGCAAATAAACAATATTCATGCACTGGTAACCAACCATTCATTATAAATTTTCTTAATGCATATCCAATCATCAGGAAGGCAATGAGACGTGAAAAGTATGTTCACAAATTATTGTGTTTACGTACATCATTAGATAAAATGAATATAATAGAAGCCACTTAGGAACTGCAGATGACGATGATGATATTATTAGTAATAGAATTATGAAAATATTCCATAAGTATTATCTTCGTGCATATATTTTATTTCCTTAACTTATTGCATATTTTCTCAACTCTACTGCATAATTTCGTATACTATAAGAAGTTAGTGAAGCCAAATCGAGTGCCTTCAAGTTCCTAAACTGAAATTGCTTTAACGTCTTGTTCATCTTATTCCTCGACCGAATATAATAAGCCATACAAAATAACCGGAACGAACAAAATGATTAAAACGTAAGACCGAACAATTTCGGATCAAAGCGATTTCGTTTTATTGCCGGATTGATGCTCTATATACCCCGAAAGCAGTTTCAAACTTTAGCAATTAATAGAAGATCATTGAGCAATCGATGTGATAAATTACTTATTTTTATAAAGCGAATGGGAGAATTAGTTTGGCAGATTATGACTCCACTTTTACGACCTTTTTAATGTGGGACAAGCATAATTTTATTGATAATAGTTAAAGGAATAAAAAGGATAACAAAATATCTACCGCAAACGCAGGATATGGACCGTAAGGATATAATTCTCGAATTCGGTCCAACAATAAGCCAAAACGTAGGAATACTTGCATCATTAACATCTACCTCATAAAACTTTAATACCTTGTAAACGTGAAAAGCTTATAAATAAAAAATCAATTTGGATGACGAAAAAAGTGCTATCGGAAAAATAAAAATAAAGTTTATGAGTTTACAGATGTGTTTTTAGTATGTACCTAATAAGTACATAGTAAAAAGTGTTCCTCTTAAAAGCCATATTAAACATTAACTTTTTTAATGTACGAAGCCTCTCATCTACCTTACCAGATCATTATATGTAGGAGCTTAGACATGCTCTGCTAAAAATTGTATATTTACTGTAATTCTGCAATTATTTATCCAAAAATTAAAAAGTAGATATATGAAAATTATAGGACTCAATATTGAATAAACAAAGTTATGAAAATTTTCATTTGGAATATCTTCAATCGTTATTACAGGAAAGCCAACTTTCGAGTAATCTTTTGCGCAATTTTGTTCTTCTTAAGTAAAACTAGTTTCGCTCTTTCTCATTCTCGGTACCAGCGAGTTACTCTCGTACATTTTTAAGTGTGCATAGTGGAAGTACTTATGTTGTACGAACCAACACGTTCGCGAAGTAAATAAATGATACACATTTTTATAACCTCTGCATTATCATTAATATTAATTTATAATCGATTAGGTATGTGTTGCTACAAAGTATGTAATACCAAGAAGCAGTCTGAATTTTTTTCTGCTTTAAATAATTCTTCAGGATCTGCTAGGGATGCTTTTAAAATATGTAGATGTATAGGTGGTATGAAAAATCCTTTAATTAGAGAATTTTTTTGCAAAAATTTTATAGATCGTGCAAAAAAATGTGAATTATCTTAACACCTTTTAATAAAAAATCACCGGATAATCTTCGTAGGTAACGGTTTTTTAATACCAAGTGATTGTTTGTAAGGTTTAAATGTCTATTAATTACATAAGATTTGTTATATTGTATACTTTACGAAAAGAACAGAAAATAAAATAGAATCAATGGAAATAGCATCAAAAACTATTTCAATATTTTAGAATATAAAAATAGAATCCTATTCTGACTCGAGCAAATTCGGTTTCAATAATAAATTTCTCAACCCTTTTTATTTGTAGGTAAAGCAGCCAAATTTACATTTTTATTGATAACCCTCTTCCGGATGACAGTGAACCTAATAATACTGTCAATCAACTATTTTCTATCGAATTATAAGAAATCGATCGATTATAATAAGTAATTTGGCCTTTATAGCGATGGAGTTTTGGAGAAATATAGTTTTATACGAAAGTAAAGAGTAATTATTATTTTACAACTTTGAGTTTCCTATTAGAATAAAATATGTATTAAAATAGAGTATGGATAGATTATAGAAAATAATGATTAGATAGGTAATTAACGAGCATAGAATTAACGTAGACAATCGACTAAAAGTGTTCATAAATGGGACTCACAATTTAGTAACAGTGACTGGTAAGTTTTGCGGCACTTTCTCGAAGCCGGCCGTCCTGCAAAAGATATCCTTAAGATCCTTGGAACACCTGCACGATTCGTGGTCCTCGTGAGGACACTCTGCCAGAGAGTCCTGCGGCGTGGAAGCTTCGGCCCCGATGGCCGAACAGGCCGCCAAGAAGAGCGGCAGCAGCAGCAGCGCGCAAGAGCCCCGCATGCTGTCGGGGCAGCGGGTATTTCGCGCACTTGGTCGCGATCTCTGCGATACCGATCCGTCGTTCCTCCTCAACGTAGACCGTGAGACTACTGAACTCTGGCGGCATGACAGAGGACGGGCCACCGATCGCCATATGACCGGTTTGCGAAGTTTACCACGCGTGCTTTCTTCCGACTCCGACGGACCGATTTCTTCTCGGGATGGAGCGAGGATTGCGGATGATTAGGCCCCGAGATCGAGGGCGAATAATTCGCTATCCGAGATATTACAATCGCAATTTCCACTTTTTAATCGGCCTCACGAAACATATACAGGGTGTTCCTAAACATCGTGTACATCCGAAAGGGGATGATTCTTTGGCTTATTTTATGACTAAAAGTTCATATAAACATAGGACCGCAAACGCTTTTTTTTTAATGAGTGCATTTATTTTTTTAATGCAAAACAATGAGTTGTACGGAAAAAAGTCAAGAAATCAAATTTGTTCTAAATTGTATGAGGATTCCCAAATATAATTTTTATTTCAACATTAGGTAATGGCGTACCATTTTTTCTCCAAAATTATTCAATGCAAAACCTCTACAGACGCCACTGCTAAAAATAATAAAATTATTTGTACATCAGAAAATGCATCTTGATTCATAGAAGTGTGCCAAATTTCATAAACATATCTATAACTTGACGCGTTTGGAAGACGGAGTAATAAACACATTAATCAGCCGAAGTCCACCCGGGGTGTAAACGAGTCGCCGATATCACTCACTCCCCATTGGCCGGCCTAAAAGTTGATACTCTGTGAATGGTTTTGAGTAATTGTAGGCGATGTGCGAAATTTCTATCGATCGAATCGATCATTGTACAGGTTTTGCCGTATTGGGGTAGGGATATTTTGGAACCGCCTGACATTTTTATTACTCAGTCTTCCAAACGCGCCAAGTTTTTATACAATAGTATCACAGTTATTACAAAAAATTAATTTTTTTCTTAAAACTTACACTATGTATCTCAAAAGTTAATACGTTTAGGACATAGATTCATATGAAGTTTTTTCTTTAAAATGGGTCCAGGAATTACCCCCTTAAATGTTAGCATGTCATTTTCGAACGCCTTGTATAATTTTTAATTAGCTAAAAAAATAATTCTTGCTCGTAAGAAAGCGAATTGAAAATAAACCAATATACCAGGTCTGTATATTTATTATTATCCCCAACAAATATTTAAAAACAATTAATAATTTGTACAAAAATATTTAGTAAATAAATGCTCAATGTATTTCTTCAGTAAATTTGCTTCATGCCTTATTTAATACTGCTCTTACATGATTAATTACAGAGCTTCGATCATTACGGCGATGCCTTGACCTCCTCCAATACAAGCCGATCCAATAGCGTATTTTCCTCCTCGTCTCCTGCAAGAATAATATTTGTTCGATATTGAACGGGAAAACAAGTACAATACACTTACTTCAATTCATACACAAGATGACCGGTAATTCTAGCTCCAGAAGCTGCTAATGGGTGACCTAACGCTATAGCTCCACCGTTAACGTTAAATTTGCTCATATCTAGTTTCAAATCCTTGGCACAAGCCAAAGCTTGGGCTCCGAAAGCTTCGTTTATCTACAAAATATCCACGGTTTTATGAAACTTCATTTTGAATAAAAATTATGCATTTTACCTCAATTAGATCGATGTCGTTTAGAGTTTTTCCGGTTATCTTGAGGATGTTTTTAATTGCTGGCGACGGTCCGAAGCCCATGATGGAAGGATCGACTCCTACCACAGAGTGCGCCACTATTCTTGCCAGCGGCTTCAGGCTGTGGTTCTTCAAAGCTCCTTCGCTAGCTATGACAACGGCTCCTGCTCCATCACAAATTCCCTTTAAAAATTATAAAATATCGTACGTAAGAATAATTTAAAGAAACATACAGGGTGTTAATATGCATTTAAGATTGTCAGAAGAAGAAATTGAAGAAAACGGTAGAGAATAGAAACTTGTGGAATATAATTTTAGTACTTACAGATGCACTACCAGCTGTAACTAATCCATTCTTTTTAAACATCGTAGGCAATTTTTGCAACCCTTCTAAAGTAGTATTAGGTCTTGGATGTTCATCAACTTCGAAGTTTACAGTCTCCTTTTTAACTTTAATTGGCACGGGAACGATTTCATCTTTGAATTTCCCGGCGTCTTGAGCTAAGAAAAAATGTAATTCGGGTAAATAATAGAATAAAAACAATAAATTCTCATGCAACGATACAATAATAAGACGAAAAGTGTTAGTAATTACCAAGCAAGAAAATGTAATTAGTTCATGAGAAACTACTCTACCACACGTGACGTAAAAATCATCAAAATGGGTTAGTAAATGCGATACACAAACTGTACTAAAGCAATTGCAATTAATCACATAAAAATACCAATTCACTACATTCGCTTCTACACTGAAATTCACCTGCTTTCCAACGTTGTTGAGATTGCAGTGCGAATTGATCGACTTCGTCTTTAGTAAGCTTGAATTGTTCACCGAGTTTTTCCGCTGTTAGAGCCATTGACAAATTACAGTACGTATCTTGGACTGCGACCCACAAAGTGTCTTCAAGTACAGGACTCTGACCGAGAGGTATCCCTCCGAATCTAATGTTTCTGGCTACGTAAGGACAACCCGACATGTTCTCAACTCCCCCTGTAAGGACGATTTCGGCGCAGCCCGTCTCAATATCCTACCACCAAATTAGATATTTTCATCAAAAATGTTTTTGACTCCGTGTAAAAAAGTCGTTATTTATTAGTTTATAATCATCTTAAGAACCGATTCTTGAAAATCGGTTTCAAGAAATTCGATACGTGCTGTAATTAAAAATGGTTCGTTTAAGCCCAATCGAAGACACAGGATTGATAACATAAAAATGCATTTGCAATCGGAAATTTTGTTCATACGTTTCTCAAAACAAGAACTACAATACATTCGCACCTTCTTTCCACCTCAATTGCGAATTAAAAGAATATATATCGACATCCTCTTTGGTTATTTCGAATAGTTCTCCGAGCTTTTCGGCTGTTAAGGCCATAATTAAATTACAATACGTATCGGGCCTTATCAACGTTTCGTGAAGTATCGGATTTTCTCCTAACGGAATTGATTCGTATCGACACCCTCTAAGGATAAAAGGAGAAGCTGACATTATCTCCACACCTCCCGTCAATACTATAGCTGCTCCTGAATTTATATCCTTCAAATTAATAAACGAAATGTTTAAAATTAAAGTTGAATATCGGTCACAACTCGATCAAGCTTGGAGTCTAATACAATATAAAGTATTTGTATTTGCAACTTTAATGGTTGCTTAATTACAAACCCTGTAGACTTTAACAATTTCCACTGAGTTTTAAGATTATGTCTCTTTTAAAGCAACCCAGCTTTGAAGCAAAATATTTCTACCACCTGCAAACAATTTAAGCAATCACTCGTGTATTTACAATTTGTAGAAAAAACACAATTTAAAAGTGCCACAAAAATAATGAAATCATAATTTCGCTTTTGAGATTCACCTGCTTTCCATCGTTGCTGGGATTGAAGAGCGAATTGATCGACTTCCTCTTTGGTGAGCTTGAATTGCTCGCCGAGTTTTTCAGCCGTTAAAGCCATAGTTAGATTACAATAGGTATCGAAACTGCCTTGCCAAAATGCATCTTCTAATACTGGACTAGTTCCCAGAGGAATACCGCCAAATCGAATATTTCTAGCGACAAATGGAGCAGCGGACATATTTTCTACGCCGCCCGTTAGAACTACATTAGCTGCTCCGGCTTGAATCTCCTAAATTTCCAGTGAAATATTTTTACTATGTTACAGATAATACTCTTATTTTCCACTCAGTTTGTTAATTATGCTTTTCTAAGAAGATATTTTTGCTTTATTTAAATAGCTACCTACTTTATGCAATAGTTTCTATACCGTAGGGGCAAAAAATATAGTTTTTACTTACTTGTAAACCACTAACGATCGCTTGAAAACCAGAGCCGCATAATCTGTTAACGACAAGGGCGGGTTTATCCACGGATACTCCACTTTTTAGTAGAACATGTCTAGCCAGATAACCTCCATCTGGAGCAACGGACTAAAAACAATAAATTTCATTTGTATTAATTGTAGATGTTATAAAAGCATTGTTTGAACTTTCAAGAACTTTGAATTTTTAGAATATCGCAATTTCTAATGTTTCCAATGTTCTAAAGATCACAAATAGACAGTTAATAGCAAAAAAATACGATTGCCTTTTTAGTACTACCAATTAAGTATTATTTTTTAAAGCGATTGGTTTGAATCTTTTAAAATTTTTAAGAAATTTACTTACCGAAATTACGTTTCCTATAACGACAGAATCGACATTTTCGGGTTTTACATTAGCGGCTTCTAATGCTGCTTTGGATGCAATTGTCTGTAAATCCGTAATATGGCTTTTTGCTAATTTACCTCCAAATGTACCAAAAGGAGTTCGTTTGGCACCGACAATAAAAATACCTAAAATAGTATTAAAATGTCAATAAAGATGAAGGTTGTGTAAAAAAGAAATGAAGGTGATACAATGCAAGATTTCAAGATAGATTTCACATACATAAATAACCACCTAATATAAAAATCATACCCTAAGTAAAAACTCTTTCAGAAGGGTTTGTATATGAATATATGAATATTTTGTTATCATCGTTTGTTAAGTTAATTAAGCTAACCTTAAGTTTGTTATCAATTATTTTGTGCATAAGCTATATTGGATTCTGTAAATGAATTTACTAATTTGTTCATTACTTTCATTGTATTTAAAGTGTTAATTAAAAAATTGGTTCAATATTTAAAAAAATTAAATTATCATTGAATTAACTAAGTTAGTTTCGTTATCTTTGGGAAACTATTTTTTTGTTGAAAATTATCATTAAATGTAAAATATTATGAATGAATAATTAAGAATTGAATATTATTTAAATTACGATTTAATTACGAAATAACCAGTTTTTCTATTAGAATTTGAAATAAGCTTTTTAAAAATTCAGTATTTTCGAAAAAAAATAATAGAATCCTAATTATGCCTTGAAATCATTACACTTTATTAACTAAACCTAAATGAAATAGTATTATATTTTGTCCAATCATTAAATCCATTACAGTAATTAATAATTTTGTTCAGTCAAAATGTTTGGTGCAGATAGGAGATCGAACAAATAAACAATATTAATCTAAAAAAATACGATAACAACCAGTCAGGAATTTATTTAAGTAAATACATTATTTGGATGTAGTGTATGCATGTAAACACTTTTACATAATCTAATTAATATCTTTTGTAAGACCTCTTGAGAAGAGAACGTATTCACACATTCTCTCTTTTCTCAATAGAAAATTAGTTATAAATGAGTATAATATGAAGTTCTATTTCAAAGTTTTTAGGTTTATGGATTGCTTCAGTTCGGCATTTTGTCATCGATTTGATGAGTGTTGATCCGATCTTCTGATCATTTCATTTTCTTCATATCCACAACACCTACTTATTTTGATACATAGTCTCTTAATTTCCTTAATAATACCCAAAAAATCTGCCGCTTCCAATTTTTTCTTGACAATTCGAATATTTACAATTTAAATATTTTCACACCACCAAATTATTCATAAAGGCACGTAAATAAGGTTAAATTACTTTTTTTACTACTTAAAACATTTTTGAAACAAAATGATAAGCATAAACAGCCGTAATAAATAAACTTAATCTAATCGCTTTGTAAAATTATATAGAAATAAAATAATACCTATATACGTACCTTTAGCTAACGAAGTCATTGTTTCAGTCTTGGATTCACCTAGCAAATAAATCTAACTAAAGTAATTTTCGGTTATATGTATATGAATAATAAAAATATACAAAAAGCGATAAGTTATACGATAAGGCCCGCAATTTTTTACACAAATCAACAGTTATAATTCGTTACAAAAATATGTGTTCGTTCGACTCCGACCGTGTGTGTATATTTACTTGATCTTTGGACTTCGTAACAAGGACCCTACCAAGCCAGCCGGCTGAATTAATTACGGTTCTCCCATAGCTCATTGAGAATTTCCCTCATGGATTTCTACCTGAATCTACGCCACACTTTTTACGTTTTCAAACGTGCAATCAATTAAAAGACTCAACAATGTATATTTTCGACGAGAGAGCAAATTATCGTGAGGAAGAGTCAGGGTGAAATTAGGAATTCCAACATTCCAACTAATAATTTCCGTTTGGAATATTTTTGTAAAGGAAATAAGATTTTTTTCATAATTCCGATTGTAGCGCCATCTTTTAGATACATTCAGGTTTAGAGATTAAACCGTTCTGTTTAAAACAGTTTACTTCCCACAAAGTATTAAGATTATAAATAAATTCTCCAGATGACCCCTTTCATCAATTTCCAAAATTTTAATTCATCACCAGCTAATTATAATTTGGAATATACATAATACGTTAGGGTATTAAAATACAAGCGATTTACAAGGAGATATGTAATTGGAGTCGCAAGAGTACATGCCTAAAAGTTGGTATTAAAATTGTATTACAAAATAAATGTTGAAATGTTGATAAAGATTTGAATTAAAATACTGGTCTGACAACACTGTGCAACGAACATCCCTGAAATTCCCTAAGCACTCCTTTCATAGACAACCTCTGACTTCTTCCCCCATTGCTATTTCACAGGATTCGAAGGATCTCTCTTTACCATAAAACTTTTATAGATAAAAAAAGCTCTTTATATGATAACTAGTTAATTTATAGGTTGATAACATTTTTCTGTATACATGAAAGTAATTTTTTTATTTAAATGATACACCCTTTACATTTTAAAACGTCTAAAACCTTATTGCAGCGCGTGTAACAATTCGAATCATTTTTTATTGTCTATGACATTTACAGCTACTAGAAATCTCATTTTTCTTTTTAAAGAAAAAATATTTTTTATTTTCTTTTAGAAATAAAATAAAGCGTTATTGTGTCTGTCCGTTCTTTTGTCGCTACCGTACCTTTGTAACTGCTCATCCGATAATTTTTTACTTCACTTCATAGGATTTGAAAAGTTAATATAAGAGACCTTTTAGCTGTTTTTTCAAAAGGCTGTTTTCTCGCATGTTTGTTTCGCTTGTTTGAGTATATATTTACCTAAACTCGGAAAAACGACATTTTTGGAGTGTAACGGAAAAAACAAATTATCCTACGTGCAAAAGTCATAAAAATTTTAAAGTAGAAACATTACCTTATTCCTAAAGTTCTCTATTGTGCCTTTATTGTTTAAAATTTTCAAAGATCCATTAATTTTACTTCCCATGTTTCGCTTTACTTCTTAGTTATGTAGTACATAAATGTATATCCCTCATAAATATCTTTCAAGTTTATTTCAATTTAAACTGTTGCAATTCTGCAATATTCCACGGGAATTAGATTCAAACCGCATATAATGAGAAATAATAATAATTATAACAAAATATAATTTGGATAAATTGCAAAATTGCTAATAAATTAGTGTGGTTAATGACAAAAGTAGTACAATAGATCATTTGATTAAATTTTAAATTGAATAAATGTAATTTGAATTAATTGAATGAAGGTTTAGGATTTTTATTATTTATTTTGACTGCGAAGTTCGTGAAATAGGCCAAAGTACAACAATAATAACACTACTGTAAGCATACAGTAATTATACATCAGTTCTATTGAATGAATCTATTGGAGAAGTTCTATTAGCAAAACTAACTTATAAAGAAACTTATTTAATTGGGCTCTCGCATGAGAAATTACATTGACATTATAAACTACACTCCATTAATCACCTTTTAAGTGTTTTCCAATTTTCATCAAAGCAATATGTTTACGAGTACGGAAATTCTATAAAACCAGAAAAAAACAAGAGTATGTTTTTATGGGAGAGAGTCAAAAACTATCGATCTCAACACCATCACAAAATTAATGGATAGGTAAGTGGTTGGCATCAAAAAAAGTCACCTGCCTGTCCGAATACAGTTTTGATGCCTTAATGTTGTTTCCAACGGATTAAGCTGCATGTAAAAATCGCTTAATTACCTTGAAGGGGCCTTACCGTAAATACCTGACCACCTCACGCTTGCGTCAAAATCTAAGGCAGGACGCGACGCGTCGCTTTCCGACCGTCCCGACGCTGCTAGTCGTCAGTTTCGAAGCGCTATTTTAAACCGAAAGTTCTCAACGTCAGACGTGCGTTCGAAGCGGTAAAGTTCGTGTTCGAAGTTTTTGCACTCGTCCCTTTGCGAATTCTGCGAGACTTCTACTGACGCATAAAGTGAGTTTAGAAGGTTGCTGTTGGATAGTTTGTGTAGTTTTCTGATGTTTTTGCTTCATTAACGCATTATTTTATTTAAAAAATCGGAAATCGAAAAATAAATTTAATCGAATTTCAAGATACTTTATTTTACTTAATGTTTTTTGCATTAAAAAAATACAAACGGTGTATTTTATTTATTTTATGTTAAGGTACCTAATACCAGTGTTACGGGAAATTTTCGCAACAAAAGTTTGTCATAAATTTAATAAAACATGATTTCAAAAATTGTTTAAAAAATATTCGTTTTAGTGCTTCTACAAAAATATACCTGCTGTTACATTAAAAAATCTATATTTCCTCTGTTCTGAAAAAATATAAAAAATATAAAACAATCTTTGTAAACCATTAAAAATTGTTCAATATCCCATTTAATCATTAAGGAATGTTTTCGAAAGGATGTAATATAAACTAATAGTTTATTAATTACAAGAAAAGGTCAGCAAAGCTTACCTATTATTTTCATCATTAGAAAGGAAACCTTAAATTTTTCATTGCATTGAAACACATCCTTAATTAGATCTGTTTTATTTTTTTACTGTTACATTAAACGTCCTAAAGGTGAACCAATAATCAATAGATTACATAGGCTTACAAAAGTACTTTGTCCCTATTAGGTATTTTAGTAAGTACGAATTTCGTAATTATGTGAAATTTCGATAATTAAGCATATGTAAGTAAGAGCATTAGAAGTAAAGTTATATTATTATGTTAGGTCAAATTGGAAAATTTAATAAAATAATAGGTAGCTAATAATTTTGAAAACTCAGAAAGTGCGGTAATCAAATTCCTAATATTGATTAATGGTTACAATTGAACATATTTGAGTAATATCACTACCTGAAATTCATCCCTATAGCATCCTTGTAAATTATGATTAATGATGAAAAAGTATTAATAGATATTACTCTTCTTATGCCTACATCATTAACAGAATTATTATACATCTACCTTTACTACAGTTTTTGATTAATCTTCAGGTTTTAATAAAATTAGGTGTTGAATTAAAAAAAATCTATTGAACCATGCCCTACAACTAGTAATTCAAAAATACTCATTTTATTTGGTTAAATCGATGAAAAATAAAGGAATTATCAATTCAACATCTATTATAGGATTCAACCGAAAGTCCGACCATTTAACTAAAATCTCGCGTCGAAATAAAGTAGAATGTTTAAAATAAACGAAGTCTATCAGCTGATGCTTGCTATTTTTAACTGCTTAACAGAAAATTCAAAGATTTATATGAATAGGTACATAACAAAATTCCTTCAAAATCCGTTCACTTACTGCTGAATGGATTACACACGTATTAACGACTTTATAATGTAAATAGTTCTGGGATTGTTTGTACTGTGGTTTTTGAAGTTTTCTGATACCACAAATTCCTATGAAAATAGTAACGAGAACTTACTAGATCTTAAATCACAGCTAATTTAAAACTTCATGGAATGTTACAATACAGAAGATAACCAGGTATTTCAAGAGTTTTTACCTCAAGTTTGTACCAACAATGCTTCACTGAAGCTAAATCCTGTAACTAGTAATTGTAACATAAAGAAGTAAATACGTAACTATTTTTTTTTGTTTTTTTATGCAGAGGACTCGGGAAAAGACAAAGCTTATAACGCCTGTTCAGGCGCCCCAAAACGTTTTTAGTAACGTTAGTAATAACTAATAACGATCAGTTTTATGCATCTATAGTAGTTTAATCTATTTATTTAATGGCAACAATATTCAATTTTGAATAACAAAAGAAATCGCACTTATCATCGCTTGCACTTGTATCTAAATCCTTCTTTCTGAGAACAGATTGTGTTTATGATAGAAGTGGAATATCTACAATTTTATTGTGCATTCAATATTTTGTTACCTTCTAAAGAAAATAACGAGTATCTGTAACACACTACTATGTTACTTGAAAGTAACGATTTCAACCACTTTCCAATTCATCATCAATTTATTTGGAAAAAGGGGAGATTAATGGCTTATTCAAAGTTCTAGAGGCCATTTCGTAAGAGCCCAAAAAGCAATAATTCTCATGAATGACCTTTACTGAAAAACCCGAGAAGTTTGCTTAAAATCGTCTACACTCCATTTCATTCCTTCCGTTCTATTTGAATTTTCTGTTAAACAAATATCCAGCACATTACCGCTTCAATGAATTTAACGAACGATTCTCGTTGACAAGGAATCGCGACGCATCAATACAATTACCAGCGGCAAAGTAACAGGATAAAAAAAAAACTGTACACATGATCAATATAAATTGTTTTCGCACGTCACATACGTATCGGTGTTTATGCTCCTGCAAAAATGGTCGCTTTCAATGATATCAAAAGAGAATATGGATAAACATGTCATGAACGATGAAGGTCTATCTTGCGATTCCCTTTTGTGTTATGTCTCGTATAATGCATAATGGTCGAGTTAAAAAGTCTGTCATTCAAGAGATAAGTATTAAAATTTTTATCTGACGATGTAACGCGGGACATTAAATTCAACGATTCTTTTTCACCCGTGGGATTTCAGGAAAAAACATTTTGACGTCTTTTCAGGCGTTAAGGAAGGCGGCATTGAGGGTCGAAAAATTGGAATATTCCGATCTATACGAATGTGTTTAGTGTGTCATATTCAAATGT